ATCCATTGTTGACCAATCGCTATATTGTTGTTGCCTTAACTGACTACAGTTAACTGTCCGAAATCATTTGCCTTAAACTAATGATAGTTTAAGTGTCTGATTGCCTTAACTGACTACAGTTAAGTGTCCGAAATCAATTTCCTTAAACTAATGATAGTTTAAGTGTTTGATTAATAATTGCCTTTTAAGAATCTGGTTATGGAAATTATGATTTGGCCTTAGACTAAGAATAGCTAAGAGCATTATTATGATCTGGCCTTAGACTAAGAATAGCTAAGAGCGTTCTTATGATCTGGCCTTAGATTAAGAATAATTTAAGAGCACTATTGAAATAGTATCTGAATTGAATAAAATGTATTGATATGAACTCAACAATACCAAAACTGTGAATGTCTGAAATGAACATTGTGTGCATGATATCAAATGATTTGATTATGAATTTAGATTGAGTTTATATGGATGTTCGACGCATTAGATATGCTTACTCAGCTTTACCGCTGAGCGTGTAGTGTGTTTTATTTGCTACACGCAGGTAAGCAGAAAGCAGAATGTGATCCTGGCAGCAGATGGCGCGAGATTGTAGGGATGGATGTGACAAGTTTTGAAACAATTTATGATATGTCAATATTAAAATCGCTTCCGCAATATTGTTGAATACTCCGTACTGTATATGTTATGAAAAATATTATTGGGATTAATCAAGTATGTTTGAAAAGTTCTAAATTTTTACGATTACCAAGTTAAATACTTTAGTCCGAATGGGGCTGCAGACCTGGACGGATTAGGGTGTTACAGGAGCAGGGTCAAGCTGCTTTTGCGGGGGAATAACTGGGTTCCTCCCAGCGACTGTGGGCTGGTCCTTCGCCTCCTCGGCAGACCCCTAAGGGACCTGGAGTAGCTCTTCCTACTCCAGGGTCTCCATCCTCATCGGGGGATGGTGCTGATTAGGGCTCACAATGCGAGCGGCCCCACCCTTCCTTCTACACGGGAAAAGGAAGGTGGGTTTTTGTCATTGGTGGTGGATACCCATCCCTTCTCCATGTTGGAGAAGAAAGGTGGGTGTTTGTCACTGGTGGTGGTGGTTGGACTTCCGCGCAACCGTTGGCCACTGAACTACCATTCACCTTGTCATTTCCTTTTGTTTTTCTTTCTTCTCAATGGTGATGGTCGCATGTGTATGCTTTGGTGTAATGAATTTTTCTCATGAATGTAAGTAGATGTCTCGATGTAATGAATATGCTCACGAATGTATGAAGTTGCTTTTGATGTGTAATGGATGTTTTCATGAGATTATCTTGGCATTACCTGTCAAACTAATTTTTGACAAGTCCTGCCTTATTTCTTGGACTTAGCTTGATCTCATTCGAGCGTCATCCTTAACAATTAGGTTGCTTCATCTTTTAGTTGAAGGAACCCTATGCTTCTTTGACTTAGCTTTTTTGGTTGCTTTTTTTCCCTGGCGTCGTCTTGTTATTTCCCTAATCGTGCTAACTAGCGGTCGTTCCGGCGACCAATATGTTTAGTACTTCGCTCTATTGAGGGTGGCTTAGTACGGATCACTTTTTGGCCTCGTGTAGCAACTCTTCTTGGTCGCTCCTTTTTTTAAAAAGGAAATAAGATCGATAAGTTGCAAAATGCTGCCTTTATTGAATTCAAGTGCGGATCATAAGAAGGTTATAACTTATTGATAAAATCTAATGAGATTAGCACTATTCCACACCCGCGGGACATCTCCTCTAGTCGGGGTCTGCAACCTGTATGTTCCATCGACCAAAACATCCTTTATGATATATGGCCCTTCAAAACTCTTCGCAAAGTTTCCACCGTCGGTCGGTCGGCTAACCTCTCTTTTCCTTAGAACCCAATCGCCCTTCCTAATCGTCCTTAGTCGCACCCTCTGGTCGTGATATGACTTGACCTAGCGATGATATATTTAGGCCCGAATATATGCCCTTTCTCTTTGCTCATCTATCAAGTGCAATTCGGCTGTCACATTTTCGTCATTCTCTTCCGCATCGGATGTCTCCACCCAATAACTTAAGAATGATGTTTCAGCCGGGGCCCTTGCTTCTAATCCATAAGCCAAATGGTGTTTGTCCAATGGCCTTCCTCGGGGTGGTTCTATAGGTCCACAAAATGTAGTGTAACTCTTCTATCTTCTTCATTATCTTCTTATTTAAGCCATCAATGATGGTGTGATTGGTATTCTCAACCTGACCGTTAGTTTCGGGTATCCGACCGCGGCATAGCTGTGCTTTATTCCCCAACTTTGCAAGATATCTTTGAACCCCTTAGCTTCAAACTGGGTTCCATTGTCAGTGATGATTTGTTGGGGAACCCCAAAGCGGAACAGGATCTGCTGTGTATATATATATACACACACGCACACACACATACATTGTACATCTTCTACATCTACGAATACGCGCAACAACATGCCCCATACAAAGCCTGTGTACCATCCTTGTTTCATACGGCTTATGACAATGAATCAACGCATACGGGTTCACGCATTCAAAGAACGTAATACTTCAAGTCTAAGGATCGTTACACTAATAGTCACATTAAGGACACTTAGAGCATAGACTAAAAGTCTAGGCAATGTCCTTAAGGTGGGCCAGGTCTGGCATCCTATTATTAATGAGAATATCTACCCGAGAGTAGATGCAAACACTCCGTCATTGACTAAGAGACTAGGTCAAACATTTAATTCTCACTAGTCCCACACGCACTAACGATATCCCACTTTCATTAATGCTTCGACTATAGACCGTTTAGAATTATACTAAGTGACAAGATGTCAGTCTCAACATCAGAAGAGTCATTCTGATAAACATCTTATAATATAATACTAGGAATGCAATTAAGAGTTTACATTAGCATGAGATGTTTGTAAACTTATTACATCTGGCTTTACATCATAGAAAATATTTAAGATATTACAACAGCAGTTGGGCATAAGGGCACGAGCTCCAACAATCTCCCACTTGCACTTTGGCCAATCTGGCATTGGTCGAATGCCCATTGACCTAGTGTGTTCCTCATGCTTTAGCTTTCCCAAAGGCCTTTTCAGGGGATCGGCTATGTTGTCGTCTATTCCTACTTTGCAAATCTCCACATCGCCTCTATCTATGATTTCTCGTATGATGTGATAACATCGTACAATGTGCTTGGTCTTTTGGAGAGATTGTGGTTCCTTTGCTGTGCAATGGCCCTAGTGTTGTCGCAGAACAACGAGATTGGGTCATTAATACTAGGAACCACTCCAAGTTCAGAAATGAACTTTTTTATCCAAACACCTTCCTTTGCTGCTTCAACAGCAGCCATGTACTCAGCCTCTCTAGTCGAATCGGCGGTGGTGTCCTGTTTACAACTCTTCCATACCCTGATTGTGACTTGTAATCGTCTCAATCGGTTTGGAAGCGTGCATCAGTGTAACCGATCACTTTCAGCTCTTCTTCACCTCCATATACCAGGAATGCATCATTAGTGTTCCAAAGATACTTTAGGATAATCTTGACCGCTGTCCAGTGTGCTTCACCTGGACTAGCCTGGTATTTGCTGGTCACGCTTAATGCAAATGAGACATAAGGTCTAGTACATATCATGGCATACATGATGGAACACATTGCAGAAGCATATGGGACCTTCATCATGAGTTCCTTCTACTTGGGAGTAGAAGGACTCTTGCTTTTGGAAAGATCCGTGCAAGGTAATATAGGTAAGGATCCCTTTTTCGAGTTACATATGCTAAATCCATCAAGGCCCTTATCTATATATGTACTTTGACATAGACCTGTAACACCCTCCGTCCCGCGAACCCGGTTCACCGCGGTCCAACGAGCCGGAGAGGTCACGTTGGCGGTTTTTCTTAGGACCGTCCACAAGAAAACTCCTTGCGTTGCTTGTAACCGAAAACCTTTGCTATATTTTATTAAATGATGAAAATGAATTCACTTAAAGAAATGTTTATAGCGGAAGTAAATGTAATTAAAACCATTAAGTCATAAATAACGTAAGTGCGACAAAGGTGGGTTCATGCCCTAAACGTTTTCATAACTAAATAAGTAATTCATCTGGCCCGCACTGTCGTTCGTCCGCAGCTCCTATCACCCAGTCATCCAGGTCAGGCTCCATGATCCTCTGGCCTACCTGCGTATAGCAAAGGAAAACAACACTATACGCTCAGCAAAAGCTGAGCGGTAATCTAACAGTAGAACGCGTAGTACATTCACATTGATATAAACATAATCATACCTGTACCAAGATACGAGGTACCACGCAAACATTTGATCAATAATAAGTTACAAATAAACAGTGATGCAGTGCCACATAAACATGATGCATGAGTTAGACTGCGCAGGGACACCCCTGCCCTTCGGTAATCATCCCCACGCGGTAGATGAGCTGAGGAACGCCTTAGTCATCCCGATGGAGACTAGAATGTGGGTGATAGCTAAGCCTAGCTACCATGTACGTACACAAGCCCTCGTGATGAATACCCGTTGGATCCCGTAGGTTCCTGGACGGGCCCACGGAAGAGGCGCACTGGGCCTGACCTCTTGCCGTGGTATGCAACGTATGCCGTGATCTTAAACATGCGTCTAGGATATACATGATGGTATGAATGCATCGATTGGAGAATGAAGTTATGTTCAACGCATACATATATGTTCGATTCCGTATGAAAACAATTTGTTCAACATGATGGCCTTAGGTTCAGAGCTCGCTGGTAATCGATTATCCATTTATGATAATCGATTATCACGCTGTGCAGCTTCTGTTCCCAAAGTCCTGCAGACTGTGATAGTCGATTGTCACCTTCTGACAATCGATTGTCGAGTTGAGTTGTCCAAGACCTCCTAAGTTCAGAGAGGCCTGATAATCGACTATTGCTTCTGTGATAATCGATTATCAGATGAGCCAGCTCTGACTCAGGGATCCGCAGGGTCTGATAATCGATTATCACCTAAGTGATAATCGATTGTCACACTTGCTGGTTCCAAGGAGAAGTCCTGCGCGACCTGATAATCGATTGTCTAGTCCTGTAACTCGATTATCATGGGGCGCAGCTCCTCATTTAGCCAGTTTGATTATAATCATTACGTAGGAAGTTTTTGGGATGAACGTATATGTTTTCACTTTAAATGTGCGATGAATTGATGGGGTTTCGAAACGTTTGTATTAATGAGTTTGCAATCGAAGAGTCTATATAACGAAACACCATGATAAAGTGGACACACGTAGATTTAGCCGGGTAATCCTATGATTATAACGGTATGATTGAACTACGAATTCTAAAGTTAGAGGGCAACGTACTCACCTCTAACGAAGGGGTTGACGGTGAACAACGGAATCAACGAACGACGCTATCGATGGACAACGAATGGACGAACCTCCTGCATGATCTTCCTTCTCTTCCACCTCTCGTATTCCCGCTAGAATCTACCCTGTGTCTGCTTGTTGCCTTGGCCGATCAGAGAAAAAAAGGGAGAGGGAGAGAGTGTTGAGAGTTGGGGGGTTACAAAAGTGGAAGGAGAAATGAAGGGGAAGGGAGTTTTAAATTGTGGGAGTGAATGGGAGAATTAAATAAAATTGATGATGGGGAATTAAGGGGATGGGGTGGCGTATGGGTGTAATTGGTAGTTACCTCCCATTAATTCGTCCATTGTGTAAAATCTGACTTGACGGTACGCGAGTTTTTCCCTCGAACGGGTCCGAATTGAGTTTCGGTTGCGTTTCTAGAATCAGACAGTCAAGATGCATATTATGATGTGATTAAATAATTTTTCTAGGGAGTTTATTTTCCCAATCCTGGTCCGAGTTAGTAATTAATTAATTAAATTAATCAATTCTAATAGACCGGGTCGCAGGGCGTTACAAGACCTATCAACTTTCTTGACCTCTCACGGTAGATTCTTATGCCAAGGGCATAACTAGCATTCCCCAAGTCCTTCATGGCAAAGTTCTCGCTCAACCAAGTCTTTACAGATGAAAGAGCGGGAACATCGTTACCCATTAACAATATGTCATCGACATATATGATTACGAATACTATCACACTCCCACTGACCTTCTTGTAAACACAAGACTCATAAGAATTCTTCTCGAAACCAAAACTAGTGATAGTTTCATCAAAGCGTATATACCAACTCCGAGATGCTTGTTTCAATCCATAGATTGATCGTTACAGCTTACAGACTTTGGCAGATTCAACAGCAATTGTATAACCATCAGGCTGTGTCATATAGACATCCTCTTTGAGGTTCCCATTAAAGAAAGCCGTCTTGACGTCCATCTGCCAAATTTGGTAATCATAGAACGTTGCAATCGCAAGCATTCTTCGAATGGACTTTAGCATTACAACAGGAGAAAAGGTGTCGTCATAGTCAATTCCATGGAGTTGTTTATAACCTTTTGTTGGAGTTGGTGCCCTTATGACCAAATGCTATTGTAATATCTTAGATATTTTCTATCATGTAAAGGCAGATGTAATAAGTTTACAAACATCTCATGCTAATGTAAACTCTTAATTACATTCCTAGAATTATATTATAAGATTCTTATCAGAATGAGTCTTCTGATGTTGAGACTAACATCTTGTCACTTAGGGGCTGTTTGTTTCAGCCTCTTAATGGTTCAGATGTCTGAATGATTCAGCACTTAATGGTTCAGACTATTTGTTTCAGCCTCTTAATGGTTCAGATGTCTGAATGGTTAAGAGATTTGCCTCTGAATGGTTAAGTATTATACAGAGTCTGAATGGTTAAGAGCTATTATCTGAATTGATCAGACATTTGCCTCTGAATAGTTAAGCAATATACTAGCTCTTAATGGTTCAGACCTCTTACTGGTTCAGCACTTAATGATTCAGACCTCTTACTGGTTCAGCACTTACCCATTCAGAAGTTGCCAAACAGCCCCTTAGTATAATTCTAAACAGTCTATAGTCGAAGCATTAACGAGAGTGGGATATCGTTAGTGCATGTGAGACTAGTGAGAGTTAGATGTTTGACCTAGTCTCTTGGTCAGTGACGGAGTGTTCGCATCTACTCTCAGGCAGATATTATCGTTAATAATAGGATGCTAGACCTGACCCACCTTAAGGACATTTCCTATACTTTTAGTCTATGCTCTAAGTGTCCTTAATGCGATTATTAGTATAACGATCCTTACACTTGAAGTATTACGTTCTTCGAATGCGTGAACCCGTATGCTTTCATTCATTGTCCTAAGCCGTATGAAATAAGGATGGTACATAGGCTTTGTATTGGGCATGCCGCTGCGCGTATTCGAAGACGTAGATTACGTACAAAGAATTTGTCACTACTATATATATATATATATATATATATATATATATATATATATATATATATATATATATATATATATATATATATATATATATATATATATATATATATATATATATATATATATATATATATACGGCTCTTCCTCTTCCTCGGAGTAGTCGCCGGTGCGTCGACCCTCAGCGCCTGTCCTCCCTGCCGGCGGTTTAGACGGTTGTCGGACGGCGGCGGGCAGCGGCGGGCGACGGCTGGGAGCACAGGTAAGTACACACCCACCCCCCAACCCCTTCACCAGACCTAACTCCCCCCCACCCCCAGATCCGATCGCCTCCCCCCAACCCCCAGATCCGATCGCTGCCGACCTG